TATATATATATATATATATATGAGGTACAGCCCCTACATATCAAAGGAGACACTTCATTTTACATTAGGAGACACCTCTATCTATCTATCTAAGGAGACGCTCCTATCTATCTACTTCTAAAGACATATCTATCTCAATAAGCCCACATCTTTATCTATTCAAGGAGACACCTTCTCTTTGAATAAGGAGACACCCCTATCTATATATAAGTATCTGCCTATCTATCTATCTATCATCTATCTCTCTGTCTCCCTATATATATATATATATGGAGACACCTCTATCTATCTATCTAAGGAGACGCCCCTATCTATCTCTTTAAGGAGACATCTCCTCTTTAGATAGGGAGACGCCTCCTCCTCCCAATATATTCATTATCTGCCTAAGGAGACTCTTCTACTTATCTAATTAAGGAGACACCTGTATCTATCTAGCTAAGGAGACACCTCTGCCTATCTAACAGAGGAGACAGCTCCCCTAAGGAGACAAGGAGACATCTCTGTAAAGGAGACAGCGCTGTCTGTCTCCTTCCTCGTGCTAGGCTCACGCACACAGAAGGGGTTCCCTCTGCTGCTGCAGAGACAGCAGCACGCCATCCATGCGAAGCATGCAGCTGCTGCAGCTGCTGCAGCTGTTGCCCCTGAAAAGGATTCGTCTCCTTGCTGCTCTACTCAGAGACACCCCCTTTGCTGCAACACAACCCCGGAGACAGGAGACAGCAGCAGCATGTCCCTGAAGGCCCTCAGCAAGCCTCTACTGTCTCCTCTCTGTAGCAACTCCCTAAGGCGCTGCTGCTCTAAATGCAGCAGAGAATTATAGAGACGCTTACACGAGAAGAAAACAATAGGAAACAGGGGGAGACAGAAGCAGAGAGAGAAGGAGACAAGGAGAGAGAGGAGGAGACAACAGGAGACAGAAGACAAGAGGAGAATGCAGAAGAAAGGAGAGGAGGCAAAAGGAGACACGTGGAGACAAGGGGAGACAGGAGGAGACAAAAGGAGACAGTAGGAGACAAGAGGAGACAAAAGGAGACAAAAGGAGACAGTCGGAGACGGGAAATAATTGAAAAGAAGACAACAAGAAGATGCTCCAGAGCAGAGTAAACTGCGTTTAAAAAGCCCGCAAAGTAACTGCCTTTGCTTCTAAGGGCCTCTCTAAGCCCCAGAAGGAGACAGTTGCAGCAAGTGTCTCCACCGTTGGGAGCGAGACAAATACACGTACATATATATATATGTATATATATATATATGTAAAGACAAAGATAAATAAATAAATAAATAAATAAAGTAACAGGACAGGAGCTGTCTCCTAATCCTCAATAATCTCTGCGCATTAACTACAGGGATAAACAAAGCATATAAACTGAACACTGAGCACTCCCCTCCCAACTGCAAAACAAGGCTACTTCTGTACACTGAACAGGAGGAGACAGCAATCACCAACTGTCTCCTCTCACTGCAATGTCAGGGACAGACACCCCAAACACCCCACACCCGATGCTGTTGTCTCCTTAGGGGTATACAGCCGAAGCACTTCACAAAGAATCGCAATCTTCCTCATAACGCTCTATGCATGCACAGACTTCATATATGCATGCATGCGACAAATCCTCATATCGCTGTATGCACGCAACAAAGGCATGCATGCATGCATGCAACAAATGCATGCATGCATGCATGCAACAAAGGCATGCATGCATGCATGCATGCAACAAAGACATGCATGCATGCATGCAATCAATGAATGAATGAATGAATGCATAAATGCACGAAATCCATACAGAAGCTCGTTCATGCATGCACAAACGCATGCATGCATGCATTAAATGGATGAACGCATGCATGCATGCATGCACGTACGAAATGCATGCACAAAGGCGTGCATGCACGCATACATGCATAAAATGCATGCATGCATGCGTGCATGCATGAAGTGCATGCATGCATGCATGCAAGCATGCACTGTTAGGCCGCATGCAGCAAGGTCTGCTGCATGCAGCAAATCGCTGCAGTTGTATTGGCTGTCCTCATGAAGTAGACTGTCTCCTTTGAGTAAGTCTGAAGAGGCAGCAAAGTTGGGTGAGAGACACAATCTACTGTCTCCTCCCTTTCTGCTTCAGATACAGGGAAGAGGACCCCACAGGTCCCTGCGGGATTGCTTCCTGTGGGGTCGTCTTTTCCCCGGGATCGTCTCGCTTTGGGATCGGATCCCCGCGCTGGGATCGTTTGCCATTGGGATCGTTTCCTCGTATGGGGATCGTCTCTGTTTCGGATCGAGTCCCCATAATGGGATCGTCTCTCTTTGGGATCGGATCCCCGCATTGGGATATTGTTTGTGTGGGATCGGATCCCTGCACTGGGATCGTGTAAGTGGGATCGGCTCCCGAACTGCGATAGCACTGCGAATGTCTCTTTGGGATCGGTTCCCGTTGGTTGTGGGGTTTTATTTTCGAGAACTTCTTTGAGAAGACCTGCGAGACCTGCTGGGCTCTGCAAGTTCTGCTGCTGCTGCTGCTAATGCTTTAATAGAAGGGGTTCGTTGCCCGGGTGTCTCTAAGGAGACACCCCGTATACTAGAGATAATATCGCCGCTTTGTTTATAAGATCTTCTCGGCCTTGTGGGGGCAGCCTTTGCTGCTTTGTGAGCCTCAAAGTAAAGCACAGCTAGCAGCACTCCAGCAATAAGAAACAAATAGGGCTGTACATACACTCGAATTGTCTTTGATGCAGGGTCTTCTTGAGCTCTCTTTGCCCATATATCACTCCATACACCTAAAGGCGACAGCACATCTATAGCAGCAGCACGCCGCTGCTGCAGCAGGCGTCTTTCTCCTCTACGTAATACTTCTGAATGCACTCTCTCTGCTGCTGCTGCTGCTGCTGCTGCTTGGAGTTCTCTTAGCTCCGCTTCTGCTGCTTGAACCTGAAGATGCGTACGCTGCAGCTGCTGCTGCGTATATAGTAGCTGTTTCTTCTGTCTCTGCGTCTGCTTCATTAGCTCTGCTTGCAGCTGCATCTCCCGCTGCAGCTGCATCCGCTGCAAGCGGGCTCGAATAGAGATAGCCTTCTCCTCTGCCTTTGTCTCTGTCGCTGTCTCCTTCTTCTTATGCGTATTCTCTTTTGCTGCAGCATCACCCCCAGCAGAAGCAGCACCACCAGCAGCAGGGGGGCCCCCAGGGGGCCCCTCAGACACCCCCCTCCAGCTATTTCCCTGCAGCTCAGCTGCTAGCTGCAGATTAACCCAATCTAATTCCGATAGATGCTGCTGGGTCGGAGACACTTCGTTTTGCTGCTTCAGTCTCTTCATCAGCTTTTTTATGTCTCCCCCTCCTTCAAGTATCTCCGCTATCTCTGCTATATCTTCTTCTAAAAACACTGCCTCGTCTTCTGAAGCAAGCAGACACACAAACACCAGCAAACAAAGCAGCTATAACCAACTGCAGCAACAGCAGCAGCAACAGCAGCAGCAGCAATAGCAGCAGCAGCAGAAGAGGTAGAAAACGGAGACTCTAATGAGACAAGGGGGTGAAGGAGACCCGTTGCAGCAATAAGAGACAACAGCTACATTCTTCTGCTGCTGCTGTCGGTGAAGCAGCAGCAGCAGAGCAGCAGCAGCAGCAGCAAAGCAGCAGATAATGGGCAGCAGCAGCACCAGGCTAAGAACATCAGCAAAAACATAGGAACATCAGCAGCAAGATAAAAGCAGCAGCAGCAGGAAAACACGAGCATCAGCAGCAGCAAAACAAGAGCATCAGCAGCAGCAGAAAGAGGAGACCATCAGCAGCAGCAAGAAGAGACAATAAGCAGCAGCAAAAGGAGACCATCAGCAGCAGCACGAGGAGACCATCAGCAGCAGCACGAGGAGACTATCAGCAGCAGCAAGAGGAGACTATCAGCAGCAGCAAGAAGAGACAATGATCAGCAGCAAGAAGAAGTGTTTGTATTACGAAGTAGAAGGGTCTCTATATGCGCGGCGGAGACGATATTTTTTAAGGAGTTTGTTTGAGGCAGAGCGTTGTTATTATAAGCAGCCATCCAGAAATAAGACTGAGACCCGAGTGTACACTCAGTTATTGCTGCTTCACTGTACTCCTCTCTAATAAACCCTAAATATTCAAGGGTTCGCTGAAGAGACAGAGACTCTACTTTCGCTAGCTGCAGAAACTTCTTCGTAGATACACCCGAGCAAGAATGCATCAGGAAGCTCAATACCCGCGCATCTGCACGTCAACAAAACACAAGAAAGTCTTATATATATATAATATATAATATAATATAATATAATATACATAATATATATATTATATAATAATACAATTTATATATATATATATATATGTGTGTGTGTGTGTGTATGGAGATAGATATAAATATGTATATAATAATACTATTTAATATCATATTAATTTAATAGTATATAACCATCACACGAAATAGTAAACAAATAAATAAAGCATTATATAATAATGACATTAACATATATATAATATATAATATAATATACATGTATATAGAATCAAATCCTACATAATATCGTAATATAATATTAATGATATATAACCACCATATAAAATAATAATTAATAATTAAAGACAATAAAACAAAATAAAATACAGCACAATACACAACGAGAGATACTCTAAAGAGACAAATGCAACCAGAGACACATCCACATGGAGACACTTGCATGCAGCACGCATGCATGCATGCATGCATGCATGCATGCATGCATGCATACATACATGCATACATACATGCATGCATCCAGGGACAGGATACAGGAGACACGAGACAGGAGAAAGGAGACAGGAGACAGTAGAAGCGCATGCAAGGAGGTGCACGTACACCGGGATCCGCTCCCCGCAGTTGTAAGAACGATTGAAGGTGCTAAGCTGCTGCTTTCTTCAGTTATCCACCCCACAGCAGTAATCTCTTTAGTAAATGGGTTTCTTACTGCGAAGAAACAAAGCAAGAAAAGACATTAAATATATCTATTACTGTATACACAATACAGTGCATGCATGCATATTAACACATATAAAAAATACACGTTTATACATTATGCAGACAGTGCAGCCGCACTTTATTTAATTTAATTAAATAATTTATTTATTTATTTATTATTCATTCATATTAATAGTATACAATAATGCATGCATACATCTGCATGCATGCATACACCTTCATGCATGCAAGAGACATGCATGCACGCATGCATGCATGCATGTCTCCTGTACCAGGACACAAGAGCATGCATGCAGTATTAGATGGATTCATGCATGCATGCATGACTTATGCATGCACAAATCGATGCATGCATGCATGCATGCATGCATGCAGCTAATAGACGCATGCATGCATGCATGCTAATAGACACATGCATACACTATTAGATGGATGGATGGATGCATGCATGCATGCATGCATGCATGCATGCATGCAGTGACATACATGCAGCAGCCTTGAAGAAGTTTCTTGGGGAGAAGGAGATAGGGTCTAAGACATCGGCTTTGCGTAGAAAGCGATGAACTTTTTCTTGTATATCCTTCGCTTCATCATTGTCTACATCTTCAGCAGTTAAATCAACGACTTCTTCAGCAGCAAACGGCGCTAAAGGTGTCTCCATCGCTTCTATAGACACACAGACACAACAACAGACAGATAAATAGATATATCTACATATATATACATATATATATGTACATGTATATATAGATATATATCTATACATATATATATGCATATATATATGTAAATATATGCATATACATATATATATATGCATGAGAGAGAGAACGAAAAAGAGACAGAGAGACAGATAAGCAACAGCTGATTAGAGACAAAGAGTAAAAAAGGGTTAAGGGTGAAAGAGAGACAGAGAAGGATAGACAGAGAGACAGACAAAGAGAGACATACAGAGAGAGACAATGAAAGAGAGACAAATAGAGACAGAGGCAGAGAGCGAGGAGACGCTTAAGCAGACAAACGCGGAGACAGACAGTATGAGGAGACACTTCGAGACAAAAGGAGACAGGAAGAGACAAAACAAACCAAAGACAAAAGGAGACAGACAAACGCACCCGGGTGTAACTGCAGCAGCTCAGTGTACATTGAATCTCTCATTCTCTTCAGCTGTCGAACTTTTTCTCCTAAGCCACAAAAAGACAATAAACAATAAACAAAAAAATGCATATCAGCAGCAGAAGCAGCAGCAGCACCAAGATACTCATTCTCAGCAGCAGCAGCAGCAGCAGCAGTATCATGATCAGCAGCAGCAGCAGCAGCATGATCAGCAGCAGCAGCGGCAACAGCAAACACCAGCAGCAGCAGCACCAGCAGCACCATCATGAACATCATTAGCAGCATCATCAGGAGCATCATCATGAACAGCAGCAGCAGCAGCATCAGCAGCAGCAGAAGCAGCAGCAGCAGCAGCATAAGCAGCAGCAGCAGCATAAGCAGCAGCAGCAGCAGCAGCAGCAGCAGCAATTCCTGTAATATACTTCCAGCAATTACATCTTGTACAAGAATCTCTAGAGGGGTTGTTAGAGGTAAGTTGATAGACAAAGTTGCGGCGCCCGACGAAGCTTGAGCAGCAAACCCTCTATTATCTGTTCGTGCAATAGCAAAGCCTAGTCTCCGCATGCATTCAACTGTATTTACATCAGCAAGAGGAGACAATAAAGAGACAGTTGGAGACAATATGTCTCCTTTCTTCAGTCGTTCCGCTGCCTTCTTGCAAAAGGCTAAGACGAGCGCATTACCTATACACATACACATATATATATATATATATATATATATATTTATATTTATTTATTTGTTTGTTTGTTTATTTGTTTATTTATTATGTATATTTATATTATTTATTATATATATTTATATTATTTATTATATATATTTATATTGCATATATTTATAGATCTTCAGACCTGTATATGCATATATAGGTTAGTATATATGTATGCATATATATCTATATATATGTATACATATATATATATACATATGTATATGTATAGAGACATATATACACATATATATTATATGAACAAACAGATATACATAGATATACGAACACAAATATCTATGCATATATATATATATATGCATATATATATATGTATAGAGAGAGAGAGACAGAGAGAAAGAGAGAGAGACAGAGACAGAGAGAGAGAGATAGAGAGAGATCGCAGGGTGCTAATGGTTGCAGTAGTACTAAGAGACAGGCGTTTGCGTGGGGTGTATATGCAGGTGTTTGCTTACTAATCTGTATAGCCTCAGCTTCGTTTTCTTCATTAACAATAAGAAAATCAATTATAAACCCTCGGTGTGTATCTGCACGTCCCCAGATAAAGCCTATAGGGTCTCCTTTATCTGCTGCTGTCTCCTTTTCAAGTGTCTCTGTTCCTGCTGCTTCTTCTTCTTCAGTCTCAGAGACATCAATAAAACTGTCTCCTTCAGACTGTCTCCTTGCTATAAACACAAACACATTGCTGCGCTCCGTGCTCTGCCAGCTGTCTCTAATCAGTGCAGCAGCAGCCCTAGCAGCACCGAGAGAATGCTCAGCTGCTAGAGCAGCAGCATCTTCTATGTCTTCATCTGTTGCTGCTGCATGCACAATAAAACCCACTGTCTCTTCGTCCCCCTCACCCTCTAAACCTTCAAGCCCCGAAGCATTAACAACAAAAACATTAAAAAAGCAAATACATACAAACGCCAGCAGCAGCAACCTCCGTACACCCCGCAGCACGCCCCACACCAAATACTGCTGCTGCTGCAGCTGCTTCTGCTGCAGCTGCTGCTTCTGCTGCAGCTGCTGCGCCGCAGCAGGAGGCATGCCGACACTGGGGGGCCCTAATCGCCTTATCCCCCCCTTAGGCGGTGCTAGAGAGCATTGCTGCTCCTTCATGGGTGGAAGTGTCTCCTTTGGCTATCTATAAATTAAAAAAAAAAAAAGACTTCTGCAGCAGCAGCAGCAGCAGCAGCAGCAAATTTGGGTGGCGGCAGCAAAGAGCAGCGCAGCTTGAAGCCCTCTAAATGCATAAAAATAAAAATAGATACAATTAGCAGCAGCTTCTCAGTTGCTGCTGCAACGCAGAGAAGGAGACACCCCCAGAGCGCTGTCGCTGGCGGCTACGATGAAGCCCCACTGCGGCGATGCTGCTGCTGCTGCTGCTGCTGTTGCTGCTGCTGCTGCTGCTGCTGCTGTTGCTAGGCGATACGCTGTCGTTGCTGCTGCTTCTGCTGCAGCTGCTGGTTGATACAGTGGCACTGTTGCTGCTGCTTCTGCTGCTGCTGCAGTTGCGGGGCCGCTGGAGGAGCTGCTGCAGCAGAAGGACGCAGCTTCGAGGTTAAAGAGATAAATTACTCAGGATTAAAAAGAGCAAAAAGCAGAAGGAGACACTAAAAGGAGATTGCAATATATGAACTTAGTTAGTAAGAGAGAGGAGATAGGTTAAGCTTTGAGTGGGTGCTTGAAGAGCTGTGATAGTTAAGAAAGAAGAAGGCGTCTCCTTTGAGCAGCAGCTACAGCAGCAGCAGCAGCAGCAGCAAGGATAAGAGACAAAAATAATATAAAAGGAGACAGATAAATGAAGAGATATTCGCACTTAAGACCCGTGTGATGCACTGAGCAGAAGACAGCTGCTTGTGCTGCAGACAATAAAAGACGCAATTTCTTTGCTTTCGTAGTTATATTAATTAAATAAACCTGCTTAATCTATTTAAATACGTTTAAATAACTCTTTTTATAGTATTAAACCATAGTACAAACCCCTGCAATATCTTTCAGCCCCGTACATAAGCTGTATTTGCATGCAGCGGCCTCATGCTGCTTTTATATTGTATGTATAGAGATAAAATTATTTAATAAATAATAAATTATATTTTATATTTATTTATATTATTTATTTTTAAGTAAATATATTTATTATTTTATGATTTGCTTCTTCTTATATTCTTCATGCTGCTCTCTGCACTCTAAGCCGCTGCCCCTCAGTATTATATTTTTGTGATTTGTTTGTTTGATGTGTAAATTAAAGTAAATTAATTCATATTAATTTATGTTTATTTATATGTATTATTTAGTCTTTATATACACCCCAGTTATTAAGAATGCTGCAACAAAGGTTAATCTAAACAAATACAAACTCTTATTACTTATATACTCAAAGCATTAGAGACGGAGACGGATGTTAAGGGTTCTTCTTTGTATTAGTTTATAATAATAATAAATAATAATAATTATTATTATAAATAATAATAAACAATTAAATAATCTTCTTAAACTAACAGCAACAAGGAGAAAACAAATATATTAAACGTCTCCTTTCGTATATAAAGTGTCTCCTTTTGTATATAAAGCGTCTCCTACATATGAAGCGTCTCTTATTCTAAATAAAGAGCCTCCCGTATATAAAGCGTCTCCTTTTTGCCTATAAAGTGTCTCCTGTATATAAAGCGCCTCCTGTATATAAAGTGTCTCCTGTATATAAAGTGTCTGCTGTATATAAAGTGTCTCCTCTTGTATATAAAGTGTCTCCTCTTGTATATAAAGTGTCTCCTCCTGTCTATAAAGTGTTTCCCTCTGTTTATAAAGTGTCTCCTTGTGTATATAAAGCGTCTCCCTCTGTTTATAAAGTGTCCCCTTCTGTCTATAAAGTGTCTGCTTCTGCTATAAAGTGTCTCCTATTATAGAGAACGCGTCTCCTTTTGCCTACAAAGTGTCTCCTCCTGTCTATAAAGTGTCTCCTTTTGTATATAAAGCGTCTCCTTTTGCATATGAAGTGACCCCCCCATATAGAGTGCCTCCTATATACATATATTTATATATATACATATATATATATATATAAACATATATATATAGATATAGATATATATATATATATATATGAAGCGTCTCCTTGCCTCAGTGCATTCAGTTCTCTTAACAAACAATTATAGATTCCCTTGGTGTCTCTTCTAAAAATATCTCTAAACTTTATAAAGATAGGCTACATACACCTCGTGAGGTGTATGTACACCGGAGGCGTATATACACCTCACAGAGTGTATACAGTCTCTACACTCAGCTGTTTGTTTAATGACAATGTCTTTGCTGCGCTGCTGCATGCAGCCAAGGCCATCATCATACTGCTGCTGCTGCTGCTGCTGCTGCAGCTGTTCGTGCACCACAGCCCGCAGCAGCAGCAACCACTGCTGCAGCAGCAGCAGCAGCTCTTGCAGTTGCTGCTGCTGCTGCAACCGTTTAGGTGTCTGTCTCTGAATGGCGTAGAATTCGTGCAGTAAGCAACAGGTAAAAGGAGACACTAAAAAGGAGACAGTGCAGAGGAGACCCTGCAAAGGAGACTCCTCTAAAAGGAGACGGCAGAAAGGAGACAGCAGACAAGAGGAGACAGTAGATAGGAGGAGACAGTAAAAAGGAGACAGCCCAGAGTAGATAGGAGGAGACACCTGTAGAGGGCGACACCAGAAAGAAAGGAGACAGCGTAGAGGGGAGAGGAGACAGCCGATGAGAGACAGCTTGAAGGAGACAAAAGGAGACACCTGAAGCCTTCTGCAGCAGCAAAACTATGTATGAGGCAGGGCTATCTGCTCGTGATAACCAGTGAGGATGTCTATGATATCGAGGCGCTCTTTATAGGGTGTCTCGTCTCCTGCAGCATCCATACACTCAGCATCCAGATAAACAAAGACAATAACAATCAGAGAAAGGCTGTGGGGTGTATGCTGAAAAGGTAGAGACGCATAGGGCCCTGTGTGATGCTCTGCATGCATGCGTTCTTGTCTGGGGCTTTGGGGACAGTCTGTGTTAGTGTGGGGTGTCTAGTAGTCTCTGTCTGTCTCTTCTTCTTTTGTCTTTGTCTGTCCATATCAATATTCTTTATTTATATCTCCTCCTTTGTTTCTGTCTCTTTGTCCGTCTCTGTCTCTGTCTCCGTCTCTCTTTCTCTGTCTCTGTCTCTTTCTTTGTCTCTGTCTCTCTGTCTGTGTCTCTCTGTCTCTGTCTCTGTCTGTGTCTCTCTGTCTCTGTCTCTCTGTCTCTTTCTCTGTCTCTGTCTCTCTGTCTCTCTGCCTCTCTGTCTCTCTGTCTATGTTTCTGTCTATCTGCTTCCTTCTGAGGTTTATTGCTCTCCTTGTCTTATTCTTTGTCTGTCTCGGCCTCTGTCTGTCTCTTCTTCTTGATAACTATTATCTGTCTCTTGCTGCTTCTGATTGCTGCTGTCTCTGCTGCTGCTTGCATGCACTGCAGCAGCAACCCCACAAGTGTGGGGCCCACCGGTCACCAGGATCTTCCCCAGACTCGAAAACTCCGCAGCCAGCAAACGCCCTAAACGCAGCAGCAGCAGCAGCAGCAGCAAACAATCCAGCAGCAGCAGCAGCAGCAGTAGCAGCAGAAGAACAGAAGAACAGCGACAGCAGAAGCAGCAGCAACAGCACAAGCAGCAGTACAAGCAGCAGTAGCAGCAGCAGATGGACGTGTGCATAATATATATATATATATATATATGTATATGCACGCAAAATATATATGCATTTAATATACATAATATATGTATATATATATATATATATATTATATAAAGCTACACATATTTAGCTTTATATACATATATATATATATATATAACATGCATAAAGCTATATATAATATATACATGCATAATATATATGCACATATATAGATAATATATACACAATATAATATATATATATATATATTATATATAGGATAGACCTGAATGAAAGGCTTCAAGCTTGACAGCGAATCTGCGCTGCAAGGAGAGGGCGTGGTGTACAGACAGCACGAGCTGTCCCTGTCTATCAAATGCAGCAAACAGCAGAGTATCAGTAAGGGGGTCTACCTGCATGTACACTGGGTCTGCTAATGCTGTCTCTCCTTCTGTCTCCGTGGAGACAGGTATACAGCGCGATACATCATTATAAAACCCATCGACGTATATGCATGCAACACATAAAGACCCAAGACCCCCCTCTGTCTCCTCTTCTTCTCTTCTATTCAAACGCCTACGAGGTGTCTCCTCAGAGGGGCCCCCTGGGGGCCCCTCTGGTGGGGGGGCCCCCTGGGGGCCCCTCATCCTTGAAGAGGGGGCCCCTATGCTGTCGCGCACTAAGGGCCCCTCCTTAAACTCTCTTGTCTCTGTCTCTGTCTCATTCTGTATTCTTATCTTCCTCCTCGTCTCTGTCTCTTTATCTGTCTCTCTATCTGTCTCTCTATCTGTCTCTCTTTTAATCTCCGTCTCTGTCTCTTCTTTATCTGTCTCCATCTTTGCAGCTTTTCCTCTCACCCCCTGCACCCCATCCGACGCAGCATGCTCTGCTGCTGCTGCTGCTGCTGCTGCTGCTGCTTGCTGCTGCAGCAGAACGCCCAATTGTGAAGGGTGGTCTTGAAGAGGGGCCCCTTGGGGCCCCACAGTGGAGGGGGCCCCCCCCTTCGCGCCTGCAGCGGGGTGGTTAAGGGGCCCTGAAGGGGGTGAAGGGGGGCCCTTATAGCGATTAGGAGACAGGTAGGGCCCCTCTATTGCATTAGGAGACAGGGAGACCACCTCCGTAGCATTAGGAAATAAGGGGGGGCCCCCATAGCTATCAGGAGAGAGGGGGGCCCCCTCTATATCATCAGGAGACATAGGGGGGGTCCAGGGCCTATGAGGAGACAGTGGGGGGCCCCAGCGAACATTAGGAGGTAGGGTACCCCCCCAAGGACTAGTAGGAGACAGGGGGCCCCCCCAGGGACTAGTAGGAGACGAGGGGTAGCCAGTAGAGATATCAGGAGAAGCAGAGGGCCCCTCTGAGTCATCAGAAGACACGGGGGGCCCCCAAGCATTACTACGAGACAGGGGAACCCCCTCAGAAACATCAGGAGACATAGGAACCCCCTCAGATTCATCAGGAGATAGGGGGGCCCCCCTTGGGGGCCCCCCTAAGTCTTGAGATAGGCGGCGGGTGCGCCTTTGCTGCTGTGGTGTTATGTTTCGTTGTAAGAAGAATATCCTGCCAGCAACAGAATCAACAGCAAGCAGCTGCAGCAGGGGGGCCCCACAGAACTGCAGCAGGGCCCCTGCTGCTGCTGTACGCTGCAGATAAGGTCTCTTAAGGGCCTCTGCTGCATACTCCTTAATAGCAGAGAGGGAGGCCCCACTAACTAATCGAATGCATGCAGGGCTTCCTGCTGTATCATCATCTTCTTGTTCTGCTGCTGCTGCTGCTGTTGCTGCAGCAGCAGCAGCAGGCGTTGCTGCTGCTGCTGCAGACATCTTCTCTAGCACTGCCGTACAAGTCCAGGAGACAGGAGACAGCCCACTCCTTCTTTGCTGCTGCTGCTGCTGCAGCGGAGAGAGACAAGCAGATAGGGGTAGGCGAATTAAAGCAAGGAGACAGTGTGTGTCTGCTACAGCATCACAACCATAGAAGAGCGCTTGTTTAAACAATCTGCTGTCTCTGTATACCCCTATAAGAGAAGGTAGATAGGGGCCCCCCATCTCTAAGAGATCGTCAAGACGTAATGAGGGCCCCCACGCAGTACTGCTTTCTCCTATAAAGGGTACGCCAGGGGGCCCTGACTGCTGCAGTCTATTAAGCGTTTCAAAATCGCTAAAGGGGGCCCCTAAGGAGGCATTAGGGGGCCCCCCATGAACAGGTGGTTGTCCCCCAACACTGTCTCCTGCTGCTGCTGCTGCTGTTGCTGCTGCTGCTGCTGCTGCTGCTGCTGCTCCTGTTGCTGCTGCTCCTGCTACCTCTTCAGGAACAAAAGCAGTAAATGAAGACATTAAAACAGAGTCTCCCCCTCCAGGGCCCCGAACCCATAGAGCACGCCCTAAGTTGCGGTGTACGTACACCACATCGATGCATGCAGTATCTGCTGCTGCTGCTGCAGCACCCGCCTATTCGTTAAAACACAAACAATCAAACAATAAAAACAATCAATAACAACAAACATTCTACCCTCAAACTAACCAGCAAAGGGATTAGCGCTTAGGGTTTAGGGTTTAGGGTTTAGGGTTTAAGGTTTAGGTGGCGCCAGCATCAAAGGGCATAGCAGCAAAGGAGACAGCATAAAGGAGACAGCACAAAGAAGACAGTTCAAGGGAGACATTTAAAAGGAGACATTTAAAAGGAGACAGTTAAAAAGAGACAGTTAAAAGGAGACAGTATAAAGGAGACAGTAAACGGGGGGGGAGGAGAGGCACTAAGGCGAACAGCAGAGGAGACAGCAAAAAGCAAGGAGACAGACTGCAGCAAGAAAGGAGACAGACAGCAGCAAGGAGACACTAGCTGAGTAGACAGCAGCAAGACAAGACAGAAGACAGACTGCAGCAAGGCAGGAGACAGACAGCAGCAAGGCAGGAGACAGACAGCAGCAAGGCAGGATACAGACAGCAGGAAGAAAGGAGACAGACAGCAGGAAGAAAGGAGACAGTAGCTGAGGAGACAGCCAAATACCTTGCGTCTCCTTCTGTGCTGTTCGTGTGTAATTGTGTCTTGCTGAAGCTTAAATAAAAAGAACGTCGAGAACAATAAAAATAAAACTAAGCAAAATCTATAAAACTGAGGCCGCGGCTCTTGAGCTGCAGGAGAACCCCCAGGGGCCGTTGCAGATGTCTCCAGCATCATCTTCACGCTGCTGCTGCTGCTGCTGCTCCTGTTGCTGCTGCTGCTCCTCCTGCTGCTGCTGCTGCTGAATGGGGACTCTGCGGCCAGTCAGGGTGCACTCAGAGGAGACAGCCGAGATTATTCATCGCAGCTGTCTCCAACCAGAAAAGGGGGAGATAAGCATCATTACCGCTTTGTTGCTGCTGCTGCTGCTGCTATTGCTGCTGCTGCTGCTGTTGTTGTTGTTGTTGCTGGGCGTGCTGCTCTTGCTGTCCGCGGGGATCCCTCTTTAGTCGCCGCTGCCGCTCCTGCTTCGGTCGCACCTGGTGCTGCAGTTGCTGCTGCAGTTCCTGCTTCTGCTGCTGCTGTTGCTGTTGCTGCTGCTGCTGCTGCTCTTTCTGCTGCAGCTGTTGCTGCTGCAGCTGTTGTCGCTGTGTCTGCTACTGCTGCGGCTGCTGCGGCTGCGGCTGCTGCTGCGGCTGCTGCGGCTGCGGCTGCTGCTGCGGCTGCTGCTGTTGCTGCTCTTGTCCGTGTTCCAATGCTGTTTGTGCTGCACCGCTGGTAGCTGTTGCTAGTGCAGCAGCTGCTGCTGTCGGTGGTGCTCGTGCTGCTGCTGCTGCTGCTGCTGCAGGGGGTAGTGCTGCTTCGCTTTGCAATAGTACCCGAAGTTCTCTAAACGTTATTTATTTGTTTGTGGGGTTTATTTCTTTTTCTTTGAGATGCATGCACAGAGAAAACACGAAGCAGTCAGCTTAACACCGTGGGGTGTATAGGCAGCTCAAGCCATTGAGCTGCTGCTGCAGGATTTAATCCGCAACTCAGCTTCCCTTTGTTTTTTTCTTTTGTCTTTATCTGATAAAAATAATATAAACAATTTATTTCTTACGTCTTGACACACTGCAGCAGCAGCAGCAGCAACAGCAGCAGCAGCAGCAGCAGCAGCAGCAAAAGGGGCCCCCCCAGCAGGGGCCCCCCTTTCCGGTGGTTATAAGCATTCTTTGTGCTTTATTCTCGCATATATTGAGCTTGTTGTATATATACAACTATATATAAATAAATATATATAAATTAAAATATAATAAAAACAGATAAGGCAATTGAATGCCCCTTCTTCTGTCTCTCTTCTACTTCAGACTCTCCTTTCCTGCTGCTGCTGCAGTTTGTCTCCTTCTACTTCTGTCTCCTGCGCTGCTGCTGCTGCTGCTATTGCTACTAGCTATTGTTTAATTCTCTCTAAATAATCAGCAGCAACAGGGGCCTTCATTAACCAGGGTGTATACCCTGAAGGCATTAGCCCTTTGAGTGCAGGGGGCCCTAGGGGGGCCCCTTATTCATATAAGGGGCCCTTTGGGGGCCCCCTGATCTCTACTGAGGGCCCTTGGGGGGCCCCTGACTCGCGCAGTGCGCACACGGGGGCCCCTGGCTCGTTTAAAGGACCCCTACGGGGTCCATAGTGGGTACTGGGGGCCCTACGGGGGCCCCTTATTGTTACGTAGGGGGGCCCCCAAGGGGCCCCTGCGTTGTGCGTATTGAGGAGAACTTCTATTTAAACTGCTCTTAGCAACTTTTCTTATTTCAGGCTGAGAGAGAAGAAACAAGTGTGGGGCTTGAGTGCATGCAAAAACAACCCCAAGCATTTCTCTAAAGACGCGCCTTTGGGGCTGTCCCGCATGCATACATGCATGCATGCATGCACGCGCAGGGGAAGGTTTGGGGCTTTGATGCATGCAAGCTAGTGAAGGGACGTCCACTTAACAAGGAACGAGTGGGAGCAAAGAATAATTAATAAGGAGAGAGGAGACAACAAACGGAGGAGGAGGCTGCATGCACATGCATGCAGGGTTTGCTGCAGTCTGAGTTAACTGCAGTCGAAGAGACGATCCCAGAGGAGACGATCCCAGTGGGGACGATCCCAAAGGAGACGATCCCAGAGGCCACAGCGCGATGGTGCAGGGGGAGAAGGAGAGCCTGCTGCCTTCGCAGTGTCCGCTTGCGGGGCCCCACACGCTGCATGCAGATGCAGCAGAAGGAGACGCAAAGACAGCGAGAGGAGCAGCAACAAAGAAGGAGACAGAAAAGGAGACAGAGACAGATTTGGGGCTGTCGAGTGAACGTGCGACCTCGTCGATCCCCGCAAGAGACGGGAACTGGATCTACCCTTCAGAAAAACAGTTCTACAGAGTACAACGCATGCTGCTGCTGCTGCTGCTGTTGCTGCTGGTGATGATGTTTCTGCTGCTGCTGTTGCTGCTGCTGCTGTTTTTGCTGGTACTGTCCTTGCTGTTGTTGCTGTCGCTTTTGCTGCTATTGCTGCTGCAGCCGTTGCTGGTGCTGTTTCTGAGGCTGCTGCTGCTGCTGCTGCTGCTGCTGCTCGTGCTTGCGCAGCAGTGAGGGCATTAGAGTTGTGTCTTTGTGTGTTTATTTGTCTCTTCTTGCCTTGACGTCTTCAACTGAACGAGTCTCCTTAGTGCCGTCTCCTCATGTTTTCTGCTGTCTCCTCTTTGTCTCCTGTATCTCTTTGTGTGTCTCTTTGTTCTTATAAAGATATCACTGTCTCCTCTTTGCTTTATTTGTCTCTCTCTGCTTCTCTTCCTCGGCCTCCTGTTGCTGCTGCGCCGTTCGCATTCCTGTCTGTCTCCTTTGTGTCTCCTTTTTGTCTCCTTTTTGTCTCCTTTTTGTCTCCTCTCTGTCTCCTTTCTGTCTCCTTGTTGCCTCCTTTCTGTCTCTTGTTTGTCTATTTTTGTTTCCCCTTTGTGTCTCCTTTTTGTCGCTTGTTCGTCTCCTCTCTGTCTCCTTCCTGTCTCTTATTTGTCTATGTTTGTTGCCTCTTTGTGTCTCCTTGTCTACTGTTTGTTTTTTAATTTGTCTCCTGCCTGTCTCCTTTTTGTCTCCTTTTTGTCTTCGCCTGTGTCTCTGCTGTCTCTTGATTTTCTCCGTCTCCCCATTGATAGAATCTTTTGTTGTTTCTGCTGCTGCTGCTCTTTGCTGCTGCCGTCTCTGCTGCTGCTGCTGTTGCTGCTGCTGCAGGCTGCTGCTCGCAAGGGACACAACGTGTCTCCTTTCGCTGTCCCCTCAGTGGTTGCGATTCACAACGCTGTGAATGAAGCAGCATGGAGCCGCGTGCTGCAGTACGAGCGCATGCATGCAGACAGCTGTCCAGCCCCAAAACTGCTACGCTTTGTGGGGCGTCCTAATGACCCGTCTTTTAAGTCGCGCATGCGGAGATTGCTGGGGTTCGACCCCCCTTTTGATAGACATGACTGGCTTGTTGATAGATGCGGCAAACACGTAACGTGAGGGCTTAGGGTTTAGGGTTTAGGGTTTAGGGTTTAGGGTTTAGGGGGTTGGGTTTAGGGCTCGGTTTCCCTCTCTGTCTCTTTCATTGTCTCTGTCTGTCTCTGTCTCTCTCGTCCCCTCAGCCTCTCTATCTAGCTATCTGTATAGCATATACATCTATCTATATCTGCATCTATATCTGTGTATATGTCTATCTATCTATATCTACTTGTCTAATATATCTTTCTCTATCTATTTGTCTATCTATCTCTGTCCCTCTTTCTGTCTGTGTGATCTCTGAAGACCCGGAAGACCGTTGCATGCATTTCTGCATGCATGCATTTCTGCATGCATGCATGCGTATGAATATGTGTATATATGCATGCAT